TTTTGAAAACACTCTTTCTCATACTTTTCTTTTTATTTAGTTTTCATTTATTTTTTTCTCTACTTTTATGTAAATTTATGTTTCAATTTTTTTCACACTTTTTTAATAACTAAAAACTTTTCAGATCCTTTAATTGTTAATCACCCGCCCAAATTAACTTAAATTATTTTTATTATTTAAAAAAATACACGAAGACACAAAATGTCATTTTTTTTTGCAAATATTCTAATAACAACATATTTATAATTTTATACATTTTTTTACAACATTATTTTTTATATTTCTTTCTGTTACATTAATTATTTTATCTCATTTTTCTTTTTCTTATCTCAGACAAAAATGACTGGCATCTCAACATAAATAATGCCTAAAGTGAAGTAGAATAAGGCATTTAGCAATTTTTAAAAGTATTATTTTTCTATTTGATTTTTAATTTTCTAGTTTTTAGATATACTAAGATATTATTTATAAAATCTAATAACATTTAATTTTCCATTGATAACATAAATAGCATATCCATTAACCTTTATTGAGACATATTATTTATAATTGAAATTTATTAGAAGCAATTAATAACATCTAACATATTTATGTAAATAATTAAATGTTTTAAGTATATTAACATAAGTTCAATCATTTAGTTATGCGTATAAAGAAGATTCTGTTAATAGAAATAAATCTCAATTTCATAATCTTTACACCTTGAGAAAAATTAAAACATTTAAATATATACTTAAAAGCGTTTTGTTGAGAGCTTCTGTTTTATTTTTTTTTTAATAGAAAAATCTCAAATTTTCCTAAATATATAGCTTAAGATATAATTAGTCAAATGGAGTAATGCAAAATGTTCAACACATTTAATTACTACATGATGACTATATAAAAAGGTAATGGGATGAGTAGTTCAATTTATCTTATGGGTGAGAAAAATGACGTTAAAAATAGAAAAGAAATAGAGAATTTGCAAAGAAAACACTAATTTAGGGATTATAAGTCTTTTAGAATGCATCAATTGTTAACTCATTTAATTGGTTTTGCCTAACCAACCAATTCGGTAGGTTGGAATGGATCGGACAAATTGAACTAACTGGTTAACGTGTTTAATAAACTAACACATTTTTTTTTATACTTTTCTTTTTATAAAATTAAAAACTAAACAGGTGCCACATAAATTATAATTGAGTAAAATATAACGCATTTCATTTTTTAAGATGTAGATCGTAGTACTATAACACCTATTTTGTTCTATTTAATAAAATAAAAAATGTCTTATTTTGTTATAGATGAACAAAAGACAAGCAAATTAAGCGCGAAGAATGGGGAAAAAAAACTTATCATGTAGTATTCTCTCAAAGTTAATGTTTGAAAAAAATAATGAAAGACACTAATAACCATGAACACGGATCCCCTCCAATTATAAAAACTGAAGAGTGTTTGGTTAAAATAAATCCAACCATCCATAGCATTTTTTTCTTATATCTTTTATATGTTAAAATTATTATATTTAAATAAATAAAAGGTTAAGATTTCATCCGCTATTGTAAAAACTAAAGAGGGTCTTATTCCAACAATCCTACATGTATTATTAGTTTTTTTATTTTGTAAAAATTGACAAATCAACCAACCATTTTATGACCTATTGTGAGAAATTAATTAACTCTTCATTTAATGATTTATCAACCTACCTCTAAATAAGATAATTATATAATTTATGTTTTCTAACTTAATTTTATTGATACGTCAGCTTGTTTCTCCTATTTAAGAGGTCAAAATTTTCATCTTTAATGGTGTGTTTGAAAGAAAAATTTAAGAAATTTAAAATTTTTGAAATTAGAATTGTTTTTATTTCAATTTTTATTATTTTTTAAATATTTTGTTTGGATAAGTCAGTTTAAATTTCTTAAATTTTAAATTCTAGTTTGTATATGGTAATTTGATTTCCACCATGGTAATTTCTTTTATATATTAAAATATTAAGATTAAATTTTATATAAAAAATACTAGCCAATTTTAAATATTTAATGATTTTAAAATTTAATATTAGATAATATTTAATAATTTAAAAAAAATATTTATGAATATTTAATAATTAAAAAAGTTATTGATATTTTTATGTTAACTTTGAAAGAGACATGAGGGAAATAGGAGGAAAAAAAATAAAGAAGAGAAAACATAATAGCAAGAGGGAGAATAAAGAGAGAAAAAATAGGAAAGAAAGAGAGAGAGAAGACCCAAGAGAGATAAGAGAAAGAATAGAAGTAAAAATTAGAGAGAAGAAAAAAAAAGGTAAAAGGAAAGAAAGAGAGAGAGGAGAGAATGAAGAGATAAAATAGAGTATGAGAGATGGAAGAGAAAGAGAAAGACAAAAGAAAACATAAGAGATAAGAGAAAGAGATAAAAGATATATAAGTGAGATAAAAAAAAATTAGAAAAATTTCAAATTTTTACTTTTTTTTTAAGAATTTCAAATTTTACTATTTTAAATTTTTTTACAAATACTTAAAATTTAATTTTTTTATATAAATTTTCTATCTAAACAAAATATTTCACTTAAAAATATTTAATTTTTTTTAAATAATTAAATTACACTATTTAAATCTTCAATTCAAACACACTTTAAGGACCACAAATTCATGACTTATAATATAATTTGCACCACTTAATACACTTACATAGAGAAAAAAAAGTTTCCTATAAATAATAATAATAATATATATACACTCATATTATCGACACTTGTTCAATATAGTGCTTCTTATATATTTTTTTTCTTATTATTAAATCACTTCACATTACTTATCATGTTTTAAAAAATATTTTATCCCTTTTTTCTCTCTCTAGACTCTAGGTATAAAATAACATGAGATCTCCATACATCATTTTCCTCCCACTAAAACAATAGTTTAATATTCTAGGAAACAAGAAATATAGAGAGCCTTCTCATCCAAATTCCAATAATTTAGTGTGGGGCATGTCAAACGGGTTCTTAATGGTTGATATTATTGCTAAACTAGATCTTAGTGGAGCACTCTTGAGATAAATAGATACATTCACAGGCAGGCAGAAACTTCTGGTGTGTCTCTACAATTTCCATTATAACACCAACAAAATCAGAAAAAAAACAACATATGACAGAAAATTTCTGCTTCAAAATCAAGTGTGCTGACTTCTCAAAGTTTGTCTATTTTTGCTTGACTTAAGGTCAAATAAATCCTGTGATATTAGTCCAAAATGGGAGCCAGATGGTCTAACCCCATTAAGTTAATTGAAGTATCACGCCAAAGCATTATAAAATGCCATTACTTGAGTTAATTACACAAACTCTTGTGGTACAAAAATTGACACTTATGGCGAAGTTCGTTCACAGGTAGCCAGCCACATGTTTTATATTTTCTATTTATGTGGTTCGTATGGCCCCTCAAGCACCAAATAATGCTAAGGTCAAGGAAATAATTTATTTTAGTCTCAATTTACACAGTCAACACAGTGAAATGCAACGCAAGTCGTGAAGAAGGGAAAGAAAATAATGTAAAGCTGAGGTTTGATGATGTGAATCAATAATGTTTAGTTACACTCTTTTTCTTTTTTCAAAGAGTTTTTTTTCTTTAAAATGAATGGACATGACACAATATAAAAAAATTGACAATTAATAATTAATTTATATTTATAAAACATAATTTTTATTGACTAAACATTATTTTAACATCTACGAGAATCAACCTTAAGAATATCAAATTAATTCATAATTTCTCCTTGTCAAATATTATTTCAAAGAGTAGTTTAAACTGTGATATTGTTATTTTTTGTTTTAAAAAACTATATTCTCTACTCACAAGAAATTAGTATTTATTATATATATATATATATATATATATATATATTACCAAAATTAGTATGTATTATATTTTAGTGACTTATAACGTGAACGTATATAATTATAAATAAGTTTTTGAGTCTATACAATTTCTAAAATTTTCAATAGGAAAGTTTGTTTTTACCGTTAGGAATGATATAGTTGGGTATAGGCATATCATGACATGCATTACCAAGTCACATGTGGAATTAGTCTACTGACTGTCCTCAAGGAATCACACAATCTTTCCAAGTACTTGATTATGGGTTGTAACCCTTGACCTGCTATCTTACTCCACCACTAACCAAGGACCTAAAGGAGACATCAACACATTTACTCAGAGAGTTTTCCAACAATAGCCTACTCGAGCACTATTCCAAGATTTCTTATGTGGGATCTTCGATTTTTAAAATAATTCCCTTTCCTCAAGTCTTAAGTTAGCTAACATGTCCTAATGTTATACTGCATTCTTAGCATCCACATCTCACCATACATCATATATATATATATATA